AGTACAGATTTATTCATACAGTGCATACTTAATACATGGTCACTGTGTGCCAGGCCACTCTCATGGGCACTGTGCAATTAGGCTTTGGCACAAGCAGAAGGGGAAGGTAGAATTTTTTGTAGCCCTATTTTTAAAAAGCCACATCAGGAATTACTTTATATACCGCTTATACTAGAGGACATCTGCTTGTCTATGAATTTTGATCAATTTTGTCAACTTCCTGAGCAAAGAAACCTATTCTCATTTTTATGCAGGTGGGCTCCCATATGCAATCAGGTGCTAGTGTGCAAATAATCTAGAACTACAGATGAGCCTTCCAATGGGAGAAGTGTCATGCCTGGAGGTTAGGTCCCCGGGCAAGCCCACAAAAAGCCCATATTGTTATATAAATGTTTAATCAACATCAGAAATGATGTTGTCAGTAAGTACACTCTCATTCCAAGTTCCAGGTCTGCTTGGCAGTTGTCTCTCTCCCAAGTCTTCAACAATAGAGAAAGGGGGTTTTAGTGGGAATCCTAGTTATCCCCAAGAAAAGGAAGTATGGGACTGCAGGAGGCAAATGAGGCTTGAAGTTGCAGACTCTCTCCATGCTTATGTACAAAAACATTCTCTTCCTGCATATATAAAACTCTTCAATTTAGGAATATTTATTTTAGTGGGAGAAAGTAGCAATCAGAATACCACAGAACATGCCTTTTTGGAAAGTGGCAGCTTTATAAATTATTAATTACAACTCATGAATGTAAGTTCATATGATTTCACAAAATGTGTGAACTGCTCACATGTATGTGATTGTTCAATAATATTCTGGTGGTCTATATATATATATGTTCATATGTAAATACATTTTTATCAGAAGATATTAAAACTCATAAACAAATATAAAACCATCACCAAACACTTCAATAATATTCTGGTGGTCTATATATATATATTCATATACAAATACATTTTTATCAAAAGATATTAAAACTCATAAACAAATATTAAACCATCACCAAACATACATATAGTAGGGATTCCTAGGAAACTGCACAAAATTACTGTCAAAAATCAGTTCTGATTGCACTAAGTCCTTTAAAATGTTGCCTTTCTTGACCAGATATCTTTTTTCTCTCCTTCCTTCTCTCTGTCTCTCCAACTCCCTCTCCTCCACTACTTAATTTCCCCCTTCCCCCAAATTTCCTTTACTACCTCACCACAGGTTCCACGTTAGCCCATGACATCATTACCACATACTCCCCCAAGTATTGTGTTTGCTGATGTATTCTGTGGTATAAATAGTAAAGTACATGGCTAAATTTGTTAATAATAATTTATTGGACAGTCGTCACACTAATAAATTATTTTCCGTTTTGAGCAATGAGTTAGTTCTTAATTATTCACTATGGAGGAGGAGAAGGCAGTCAGAATTAACCTGAAGCTTCAAATGCAAATATAATTAATGTCTGGAAGTATTTTAAGTCGTGCTGTATATTACAATCATTTGATGAGCTAAAGCAAAAACAATCTTCAAATAACAATTTTCCATCAAAGATATATCTCCTTTTATTTACAAGAGTTTAATAATATATAAGGTTAAGCTTTCTTTAAAATCGAGTCTAAAAGCGTGAGTAATATCATGATCTAACAGGAAATTGGTTCTGAAGGAAAAAAAAAACAGGATTCACCTTTGCCCACCAACTTGACAGCATAAAGTAGGTATTAACATTCTCATCTCCAAATTGCTCGGCCACATAGAGTCCCAGCGAGCCGTACTTGTCATAGATGATTCTCTTGGACATGTCAGTCAGTATGGTGTGGGCATTGTTGATTTCCTTAAACTTGTCAGCAGCAGCTGGATCATCTGGGTTCTTGTCTGGATGGTGTTTCAGGGCCAACTTTCTTTTAAAAAAAGTAAGGGAAATGTCATTTGACAAGAATTACAATGGCATTTTAGAAGGGCACTATTCATTTGTACATCCTTTATAGATCTAATACTATGAAATGAGCCCTAGCTGGTATGGTTCAGTGGATAGAGCATCGGTCAGCTTGTGGACTGAAGGATCCCAGGTTCTATTCTGATGTGTGTGTCTCTCTCTCACATCGGTGTCTCTCTCACATCAATGTTTCTCTCTATCTCTCCCTCTCCCTCCCACTCTCTCTAAAAATCAATGGGAAAAATATCCTTGGGTGAGGATTTGAAAAATAAATTAAAAAAATAAATACTGTGAAATGATAATGTTGATTTAACTGAGCAGGTGCTAATTAAATGTCTCTTGTTTCTAATGTGCAGGTACAATAGTATTGTTTCTCCTCTCATATCCTCAAAGGGATTCTCAAATGCATGGTTGTTGGGGCTGAGACATCTTGCTGTTAGCAAATATTTGAAGTTATTACCTAGAAGCTGATCAGTACCCCACCTCAACATGCAAATGCATGGAACTTTAAGAGCAACAGGACCAGTTTACACCAAAAATTTTATTAACAACTGGAAGAATTTTCCAGAATTAACAAATCTACACACCACATATTCTAAAAGTTAAATACACCTATCAAACATTTTTCTAATTTATATTTCCTTAAATAGATACATTATAACCCCTTCAACAAATCTTCCACAAATCCCTTTTGTTTTTCTGAATAAATACTGTGACTTCCCTTGTATTCAAATGTATATTTTACCCCTTTTCAAGTAGGTCTTTCTACTTCAGATAATCCATAGGAATTTACTTGTGAGTAAAAGGCCCTGTCTCTGTGGACCATGGAGCAGTTTGTAAAAGGTGTGAGTATGCATTGTGCTGCCTCGTGTGTGTGTGTGTGTGTGTGTGTGTGTGTGTGTGTGTGTGCAGGAGGGGGTGGGGGTTGATCGGAAATGTTTTTTTATCTTCAGTTATACTCAAGTACAAATAAAACTGTAAGATAGATGTAAGAAGTGAGCTTATAATAGTCAGGCTCTGGCTGGTAGCCCTCTCCAGAGAGATTTAAATATTGATTGAAGCCATCTATAGAATTGAGTCTATAGTAGTTTTTCCAATACAAAGTCAATTAATTTTATGACTCTCTACTGGAAAGTCCACATGACTTATTCTCCCTACGGTGCCTATCATAGGTATATGTAGGAATACACCATATGGTTTTGTTTATTTTATCACTTTTAGAGTAAATTGTTTTTATTTTAATGCAATAATAAGGGCAGAAAAATAAAGTATATCTTATAAAGCAAGCTATACAATAAGTAGGGGAGGGGTCACACCTATTTTATGAATGAAAGTATTGTTGGGTTAGGAAGTAAGGGAATAATAAAGTAGCTCAGTATTAGGATGCTTAAAAAGTACCAAAATATTTAAAAGTACAAATCTTGGTATGTAATCCATTCTAGCTTTGACCTCAGGATAAACAAAAAAAAAAAAATAAAACAATGATGGTTCATTGTAAATTTGATAAACGAAAACATTTTTCATCTTTTTGAGAGATGTTTGGGTTATCTAGAAATTCTTATAGATGGAACCATTGAAGCCATTTTTATGTGCAGAATTTATTATGAGATCTTGTGCTAATAGCACAAAATCCCTATTTTGTCATTTTTAAAAACTTTTATATTTATTATATGCCAGCACTATTGTAAGGATGTTATAAATATTAGTTCATTATTATTCACTAAACTCTATGAGATAGGTATTATAATTTCATTTAACAAATGAAGAAATTTAGCCAACAAGAAGTTAAGTAATTACCCAGTGTCACACAGCTAACAATTAGAGCCAGGCTTTGAACACAGGCAATCTAACCCTGAGCGCATGCTCTTAACCACCAATATGCTGCCTCCTATATGTTTAAACTTAAGAAAGTAAAGCACACAGAATATTATTAGGCCATTGTAAGGACTTTGGCTTTTGGTCTAATTAATGTGGGAAACCATTGGAGTGTTTTGAGAAGGAGAGTGGTATGATCTGATTTTAGTTTCAGAAGAACCATTAAGTCTTAGAGAGGACAAAGGTGAAAGCAGAGAGACTCTTTTAGAAGTTTATAGTGATTCAGACCAGTGTGGTAGTGTAGAGGATGTAATGAGAAATGGTTGGATTCTGGATATATTTTGAAGACTAGCTGAATTGGATGTGAAATTTGAAAGAAAAAGAGGACCCAGGGATGAACCAAAAATTTGGCCTGAGCAATGGGAAATTTGGAGTTACTGTTAAAGTGTTGGCAAGAAATTTTTTTGTAGTAGGAAATGGTTTGCTAGGATTTGGAATTCTCTTTTGGACACCTCTGAGATGCCTATTAGACTTCCAAGTGGAGATGGAGGTAGAGAGATCTATGAGCCTGGAGGTCACATGAGAATTATGGGTCATGTATGTTTGGGAGTTCTCAGCGGGTAGATAGTATTTAGAGTCATGGAACGGGAAAAGATTCCCAAGAGAGTAGGTCCAACAGAAGTCCAAAGACTGAACTATAGGAAGGAGGAACTAGCAAAGGAGATGACAAAAAGAAAGACTAACTTGTAGAAGGAAAAAATCCAGAGAATATGGGATCTTGGGGTCCGGGTGAGCAAAGGATTTAAAGAAGGTTCAGCGGGTAGATAGTATTTAGAGTCATGGAACGGGAAAAGATTCCCAAGAGAGTAGGTCCAACAGAAGTCCAAAGACTGAACTATAGGAAGGAGGAACTAGCAAAGGAGATGACAAAAAGAAAGACTAACTTGTAGAAGGAAAAAATCCAGAGAATATGGGATCTTGGGGTCCAGGTGAGCAAAGGATTTAAAGAAGGTCAGCAGTGTCAAATGCTATTGACAGGTTAGGTATGATGAGAATTAAGAATTGATCACTGGATTTAGTTATATAGAAATCTTTAGTGACTTTGACATGCACCCCCCCACACACACACATAAACACATGCATCTATACACAAACACAGACTATCTATATCTATATCTATATCCATATCTATCCATATCCATATATATATAATATATATGCATCATTACTTTGGCTACATATATAAGTAGCCTAAGTGACCAAATGGCCGAATGACTGGTTGACCGGTCGTTATGACATGCACTAACCACCAGGAAACAGACACTCAACACAGGAACTGTCCCCTGGTGGTCAGTGAACTCCCACAGTCAACCCCCTGCAGTCCCTCCCCCCAGCAAGATGGCCCTGATCACTGGCCCTGATCACCGGCCAGACCAAGGGACCCCACCCATGCACGAATTCATGCACCAGGCCTCTAGTTGTGTATATGTCTTTATATAGCGAAAAATAAAGCATAAAAATAGGCTCCTGGGATCTTTTCATTAACTCTGGCTTTCTTATAAAGAAAGAAAAATGGAAGGTTATATCTATAAGCACAATTAACTAGGTTAATAGATGTACATTAGGATTATAGGTGATTCTGTGTTTTGTTTTTTGTTTTAATAGCTGAAAGTTTAGAGTTTGTTCCCTTACATGGCTCATGACAAATTAGAAGGGGGAAAAGGAAGAAAAAAGTCCTCCAATTTCCATGATACAACATTCATCATCAAAAAACCTCATGTGGATTCTCTAAGCACATTAATTTTAATGGCTCAATATTCCTGGAATTCTCACTCTGTGCCCTGGAATACAATTGCAGCATTTTCCCTACTAGTTCCAGAGATCATGTCCAGACCAGTCAAATGCAAGAGCTGTTAACTTCTGCTTAGAAACAAAGAAATTCCTGGAAAAATGGCTCTTTACATGCATTTCTTTGTTTCTGGTATTCAGTTGTAGACTGATACACACTGCCCAAGAGTTGGCCAGAGAAGCCTGGCTTCCTGTCATATTTTAAGCTGCTTGGATCATTGTCAGCTCACAAGGGCAGATGCTCTCAACCATTTATCACATTCCTCTAACAATGGAGTTGGCAAAGTCAGAGAGCTGGAACACCTCCATTTGTAACAAGTCCAATTCTTGGTTGCCAGCAGCATTTTGACTCCTCTTGGCAGATACTCTTGGCTCTGAGGAATCTTCTGGAAATATGGCTAGCAGAGACAGCTGCCAGAATTACACAATTGCTCAAGGAGATGGTTGATCAGTGACCCACCCCCTTAGGAATTGTCTATGGAGCAAGAAATGTGTAGAATTTAGGGTTGAAAGAAAGTGCTTGGAGTACATTTAAATGTGCCTTTACTCACTTGTTTTAAATGTATTATAATTTCTAATTTTATACTTAAAAGTGACATAATATTAAATCAGAGCTTGTAATTCTAAATCTCTCTCTCCCATTAGTCACCTGTTAAACTGGTATAGTTACAACCAATGTTAGAAGTAGCAACAATGCCTTTAATTTCTACTTCAAAACCCAATGACAGCTATAAACTGAAATGCATAGTGAATTCAGTGAGTTACAGATAAGCCAAACATAAGTTTATAGTTGTGATTTCCTAGGTCCCCAAAGAGCTATCTATTTTGAGGCAGTGGAATAATTCCAAGAATTGTAATGTTCCTCCCACTTCTCTTCCTTACACCACCTAACACTCAGGTGAGATCTACCTACTACTCTACCAGTTTCTGAGTCACCTAAGACTTGATTCTGACCATGTTGCTCTAGCTCTAGTCCAAATCTATCTCCTTGGGATTGGAATGTCAGGTTTTTCCTCTTTGATTTTCTGCAGTTTTTATGTGATGTGCTTGGGTATAATTTTTTTTTTTATTCTGCTTGGCTTTTACTGGGCTTCTGGTATTTAGGGATTGATATTCACAAACCTGGGAAGTTCACCAATATTATGCTTTCGAATGGCATTCTCCTTAATTCTCTTTCTACTCTCCTTTCAGACTCCAGTTGCATTTATCGAAGGCCATGTTAATGGGTCCTTTATATATTTTATCTTTCTTGCATTGTTTCCTCTCCTTTTCTAATTCTTTCTGGCTATATTTTCTGACCTA